AGCATCAGCATCATCATCATCATCATCATCATCATCATCATCATCATCATCATCATCATCGTCGTCGTCGTCGTCGTCGTCATCATCATCATCTCCATCATCACCATCATCATCACCATCACCACCATGGTCACATCATCATCATCATCATCATCATCATCATCATCATCATCATCGTCACCACCACCACCATCATCACCATCATCACCATCATCATCATCACAATCGTTGTGGCCGTCACCACCATCATTAGCAGCTTCAGCATTATCATCATAGGTCCTCCCTCCTCGTGCCTCATCATCATCCTTCTCTCTTATCCTCAACCGCCTCCTCCTGCTGCTCCTCCTCCTCCTCCTCCTCATCCATCCATCCATCCATCCATCCTCGTCCTCCTCCTCCCCCCCCCCCCCCGCGCGCGCTGCCACGCAGCGGGTGACGCCATCCCGAGACAGCGCGCCCTATGGTGGCAGATGTCCATTCGGCACCCTCACGCTGATGATGCTGGAAGGAGCCACGCACCACGTACAGACATGTGGAAGGCAGGTTGCAGCGGGATGCATGCGGGTCGCGGGCAAAACGGGCGCTGGCCACGAGTCGATCGCAGGCGGGCTTGTTTTGCATCTGTGCACATACTGATGATGCCGATTGGGGGAAGACGACGACGATGATAATGGCAAGAACGTGGTGCCCCCCCCACCGCCGTCTTCCACCACGCACCTCGGGATTGCCTCATAGAGGGCGACATGCTTGCCGGTCTGACAAACATCACTAATCCAAATGCGTTAGTCGTTCACGTGACATGTCAACATGTACGAAGTTGTACATAGACGAGCATGCGCTACGAATTGTTGCATACGTACTTACATCATCGCGATGCGACTGGCTCGTGAAACATACACCTTTTGTTCCCACGAGACATTCATGACGTGTCGGTCGTAATGTCGCGTCTTCTAGGCTCGAGGGTGGCCGATGTTCTCGCATCGACTCAGCCTGAGTGCTAGACTCAGACCCGTATGTATCAACACCGTATCATATCCCCATGCATCTTTTTCAATGGTTGTAAGGCAAAATCATACGTTTCTCGCTGCCATGTAAAGAAAGAGTAGGCGTGTACATGGCCCCTGACAGTGTAACATCCATTGTGTTCGTACGATCACACAACTTTATGCGCAACGCGTTTCTTGTATCCTTGTTGTACGCGCCAGTCAGCGCGCTGCCATTTCCCAGGGGCCCTCAAGTTCTCAACTTGCATTGGCCTTGGAATGCGGCTGTCAGCGTTGGAAGGTGGCATCAATGGGAAGGGCAGGTGGGCAGGGCGGGAGGGGGAAGGCGGGGGTACCAGAGGGAGGGCAGCTGGAGACCAGAGCGAACGCCAGACGGTTGGAAGCCAAGCTGGAACCAGTGGATTCGCTGGGACTTCAAAAGCGAATTCCTGGAAGCGCCTTGTCGCGTCTTAAGCAAACTGCTGGGGTTCGGAGACGGGTCGGGCGGAGACGGGAGAGGAGGGGTGGAGTGGAAGTGTATTGGAGGAAGGGAAGGGGTGGGGAATGGCGAGGATGAGAGTACGGGGATAGCAAATTCGAGGGGGAAGGGGAAAAGGGAGAGGAATGGTGGGACGTGGAAGGGTGGATTGGATGGAAGGGGTGTTGGGTCCGACCTACCACACAGTCAAAGGCATTCCACGAAACAAGTAAGAATCCTCATGGCGACGCAAACTTCGCCAGGGAAACTCACGGCATGGATGCCCAGCATGAAAAGGTTGGGAACAACATCGGTAATGGTAATATTCGGTGTGGGCGACGACGAACGTAAGGAGGATATGAAGATGTGGATGAGAAGGATGAGGAGGATCAAAGGAGGAGGATAAGTAAGAAGAAGATCACGAGCATGATCAGGAGGAGTAGGAGGAGCGGGGGAACAGGGGAAGGCGGAAAACGGGAGAATGAGGGGGGGCGCCAATGTCGAGGAATGATTCGGTCCAGTAAAGTTGCTCGCACTGGGGTGATAGCGATACTCTGAACGACGAGGGCAAAGCACCGTGCATGACTGCACGGGGAGCACAATGTCGAGGCACCAAGCATCGCCCGACAGCAAACAAAATAACAGGAGATACCACATCGTGAAGACCTGCGCGCGTGGCTGGAGCAACGCGCGAGAGTGGCGGGGGCACCGCTTCACGCTGCCAGGGATGGAGCGGAGACCAGTAATCGTATCGAGCAATCGCGGACGGGGGACGGCGGGGGGGAAAGGGGGAGGGAGGGGGTAGAGGAAAGGAGATGTTTTTTGGGACGTGGGCCGACGTCTAGCCTCGGCCCCCTACACACAACGACGAGGGGGGCCGAGCGAGGGCCCTCGGTTTTCACACCGAGCGAGTACTCGCATCGGGCAGTTGCGCACGGGGAACGGGGGGGGGTGGAAGGGAGGCAGGGGGGACGGGTCAGGATAGGATGGGATGGAGCAGCCCCGAGGGGCAGAGCCTCGCAAGACTATGCGCGGCCGA